AAACGATTGACCATATATCGGAGCAAGGCACAAATGCAAAGCAGCTTAAAAAACTATTAGCCATATAACGGAGGTCGGCACCATGCAAATTATTTGGAACTCAGACAGGCAAAGCAGCCACTTAACAAGCTGACAGCTATCACATATTCAAACACTCATGTGGTAAACTTCCAATAGAGGAAGTCTTGGCTGGCTCAGCAGCACGTAGCCCTGGTCGTATTGCAAGCACACAAATTTAAGGTAGCGTAACTGAAATGAATGCAGACTAGAGGTGGCTGTGACTGACCGCACGCTTTGGGCTGGAACAAAGAAAACCTTGGACTCTAATGTGAAGGATAGGGTGCAAGGCAGCCAAACTGTATGAAGCTACAGTACATAAGGCAGACCATTCGTAAAAAACAAAGATCATTTTACAATGTTGGCTTTGGAAAACAGCTTTCAAGTGTATTATTTAAGTTCCTGTTTTGTTATGAAACAAATGTTGGTGAATAATACAATATTTCTATATAATATCATCTAATTCCATTTACATAAACGCAAACATTGCACAATATACCAAAAAACAATCATGACACTACATACCTTACCAAAACAGACTGTAACAGTATTATTTAAATTATATATGTAAAAAAAAAAAACTTGCTTGACAACAAAACCTTTTTACACTTTCTTTCAAATATTTCCAAATAATCATGTAAACAATACAACCTATAGTCTTTCAGCTAAAGGGAACGGTTGGATGCACGTCTTTCGGCTGTGATAACAACAATAAACAGAGTCGTACAACTGACTGGAAAATGACAGTACAGATCAATGGTGACTAAGACAACCACATAAGTGGCTGGTTCTCAGAAAAAGTGGCACAGTTCCTGGTGGTTGAGCCTGAAGAAAATACTGTACCAGTAGTTTTGGAATTTATACTGACCTGGATGCACAAAGTTAGCTTATTAACTAACAGCAGTTAGTTGCCGGTTCACAATCGTAATTGATGAAAAACACTACGTTAAACATATAATTTATTAGTAGTAGCAGTAGAATAAAGCAGCTTTGTCTAGACTGGAGTCACATGTGAGTATAGTTTGGGGTCAGTAAGATTTCTGAAAGAAGTCTCTTAAGCTCATTAAGGCTGCATTTATTAGATCAAAATAGAGTTAAAACAGTAATATAAAATTGTAAAATATTATTACAATCTAAAATAACTGTTTTCTGTTTTACTATATTTCAAAATGTAATTTATTACTATGATGGCAAAATTATATTTTCAGCAGCCTGAGTGATCCAGTCTTCAGTGTCACATGATCTTTTCTAATATGCTGATTTATGCTAATTAATGTTTGTGGAAACACTGATATATTTTTCAGGATATTTTATATATTGAGCAGAAAGTTCAGAACAGCATTTATTTGGGGGGGGGGGAATTATGTAAATGTATTTAATTTAATTACATTCAAATGTATCTAATAAATACATTTAATTACAATTTAATACATCTTGCATAAAACCTTTTATTTTCAATGCACCGCTCCACACTATGTGCTCTTCTCAATCAAGTCAAAATGCTTCCCCAGAATTAGTACTGCTGTCAACTAACAGATGGATCATAGTAGCATCGTTCATCATAAGCACAGGTGTAATGAGTGTCAGACAAAACAATGGAGTAGATTAAAGCCATCAAAAGTACAGGGCAAACAGTTGATTCAGTATATCATTTAAAAGACATAGAATGCACTGCTTAGTACATGATCACATGCAGCACCATATTAACACAACACACAATCTACATCCACCCATCCTGACTAGGTAACGTTACACCACCAAATCGTAGCCCATGCAACGTCTAGCCATCCTTGCATGAGGGCAAGCTGACATTCAATTTATGTCCCGTTAGATATACAAACATAACTGATACTATGAATAACCTGCCTCGCTCGGCATCTCCAAACTAGCTCTACTGCGGGCGGAAGGCACTGGGTGTTTGGCTTGAGCTGTTTTGACCCGCGTTAGCCTCTAGCAGTGAGCATTGACCAATAATAAACCCGCATATCAACCCGTTTGATATCGTCAAAACCTTCAAGAAGGCACAAAATAACACGACGTATAACGTCGATCTTGCCTAGAAGGCTTGTATACAGTGCGTGTGTCGCGTTACCTTTCAATAATGTTAAGCTGGATCGCTCCTTTCTCCGGTGGGACAGAAAACAAGCGCCCAGTTTGGGAAGACTGACAGCGGGGCGGATACATTTCGCCAAGACGGGAGGACAAACTGGATTGGAGGGTTAAGGAAGCGGTACAAACGAAGTTGGGCGGGGCGACGTTTGATTGACAGAAGCAGTAGCCTATTGTGAAAGAAGACCCCTCTGCAAACGCACGATATTAACCTTTCGAAGGGGCGGGGTTATATTGAGGTTACATAAAGGCGTCGGTACTAAAAAGGCAGGGATGTGGGTTATTTATAATCCTAACAATAAATATCGCCGTTGGCTATGGCAGTGGTGCTCCTTGAGTGATTATGACTGCTGTCCAGGAACAGATATATAGAAATCCTTAGTTATAGACAATACTTTGATTTTAGGGTGTGAATAAGAAAAATCAGTGAGAAGCTATAGAAAATATTCAATGAATTCACAAATAGACAGATGTTTTACAACTTCATTGCATATTTTGAAATCGTATTTGTGCTGTGAAACAGGGCCAGGAGTTTGTGGGGCCTTTGACAAGAGCATGAAAATAAATTAGGCCCAATAGTGTTACATATGGTTTCTTGGTTTTAAGAGAAAGCATTTTGCTTTCAATTTTAATCACATGGGCTTTTTTTATGCTGTTCAAATCATACAATATGCAGTAACTTAATTAAAATAAGGTTAGAAAATGATAAATAAGGCATTTCATGTAAACATAACTTTATGTAAATGTTAAAAAAACTGGAGAAAAACTGTGCAAGATATAAGTGAAAGTGTAAGAACATAAGTGAAAAACGAAATAATGAAAAAATATAACAAAAACAAATAAATATTTGAAATAGGTCCAAAAATACATCAAAATATATTACAAATATAAATAACAAATAAAATAGTTGGTAAGTCTGCAGATTATCATTTTTTATAAGAAATAATTTATTTACACATTAAGCAGCAGAGTAAAAAACGACTAGTAACAGTTTTTTTAGTGATTAGTCTGAGCTTATATTTAACGCAATCAGGGTTTTTAGTTGGTCACCGCGGTTGAGGTTTGTGCGTCTGCTTCTGATTAAGGTTTGTTAGGCCTACTAAAAAATACAAATAAAACTGTAGTGTTTGATATAATTTGGATTCCAGCGGGAAATTCATAATGAAATAAACCAGGTTAAAATAAACAGATCATTACTTGATTACATTACTTGAAGTTGATATGCTCCTCCCTTGCGAGAGCCCACATCACATGAATGCGTCGAAACTTTACTTTCATTTGAAGCCACTAGATGTCAGCGGAGCAATGGTAAGATGTTTTCAGCTCCGTGCCACTAAAAGCGAAACTCTTCCTTTTGAAACCGGTGTATATATTTAGAAAAGAGACTTACCTATGAATCAAAGAACTTACATCTTATTCGATTTTATGAATGAATAATACAGACACTGTTACCGATTTCAGTCAGAAGTGTTCATTATAGGCCATCACATGCAAAATAGCCGATTATTAAATTAATATCGAACAGATATGCATGGGAGAAAACTAGCATATTTTATGCTAGTAAAGCACAGCACTATTATAGCTGTTCGTAATAATGCCAGTAAAGCTGAATTAACTGTGACTCAGAGTGAGAGAGAGTGTAAAGCTCCTGGTTTTGGGGCGGAGATTTCGGAGTTTTTATAGCACATGGCCACACACAGTACAGTACATAGGCCTATATTCACTCAAGCACTAGACTAACGGCTTTACCCGGATTTAGCTTAACTTTACCTCATCTCACACAAACTCCAGAGAGGATTCTGCTGGAATCGTTCATCTCATTACTGGCTATTAATCGTCTTTGTTTGTAAAAACAATGCAAGGTAAATAAGAGGAAATTATCATCTTTGAACGCCAACACAATGACAAAGACAAAAGTTGAGGCAAATCCTGAGTCTAATGCACGCTCATCCCATCACGGACGGGACGGGCAGGATAAAATAGGTCCAAAAATACATCAAAATATATTACAAATATAAATAACAAATAAAATAGTTGGTAAGTCTGCAGATTATCATTTTTTATAAGAAATAATTTATTTACACATTAAGCAGCAGAGTAAAAAACGACTAGTAACAGTTTTTTTAGTGATTAGTCTGAGCTTATATTTAACGCAATCAGGGTTTTTAGTTGGTCACCGCGGTTGAGGTTTGTGCGTCTGCTTCTGATTAAGGTTTGTTAGGCCTACTAAAAAATACAAATAAAACTGTAGTGTTTGATATAATTTGGATTCCAGCGGGAAATTCATAATGAAATAAACCAGGTTAAAATAAACAGATCATTACTTGATTACATTACTTGAAGTTGATATGCTCCTCCCTTGCGAGAGCCCACATCACATGAATGCGTCGAAACTTTACTTTCATTTGAAGCCACTAGATGTCAGCGGAGCAATGGTAAGATGTTTTCAGCTCCGTGCCACTAAAAGCGAAACTCTTCCTTTTGAAACCGGTGTATATATTTAGAAAAGAGACTTACCTATGAATCAAAGAACTTACATCTTATTCGATTTTATGAATGAATAATACAGACACTGTTACCGATTTCAGTCAGAAGTGTTCATTATAGGCCATCACATGCAAAATAGCCGATTATTAAATTAATATCGAACAGATATGCATGGGAGAAAACTAGCATATTTTATGCTAGTAAAACACAGCACTATTATAGCTGTTCGTAATAATGCCAGTAAAGCTGAATTAACTGTGACTCAGAGTGAGAGAAAGAGAGAGAGTGTAAAGCTCCTGGTTTTGGGGCGGAGATTTCGGAGTTTTTATAGCACATGGCCACACACAGTACAGTACATAGGCCTATATTCACTCAAGCACTAGACTAACGGCTTTACCCGGATTTAGCTTAACTTTACCTCATCTCACACAAACTCCAGAGAGGATTCTGCTGGAATCGTTCATCTCATTACTGGCTATTAATCGTCTTTGTTTGTAAAAACAATGCAAGGTAAATAAGAGGAAATTATCATCTTTGAACGCCAACACAATGACAAAGACAAAAGTTGAGGCAAATCCTGAGTCTAATGCACGCTCATCCCATCACGGACGGGACGGGCAGGATAAAGCCTGCGGGGACGCGAGCAGCCAGCAGCCGTCAAGACAAACCCCCCGGCATCATGTGCAACACATGACGTCAAAACAACCCCAGGCGAACGCTTCGTCTAAAATCATCCCAGCAGCCTCACAGAGCAAAACCAACGAGGTTCACTCTAAGAAACCAAAGCGTGGAGCATCTGTCACGCCAAACATCCACGCAGGGAAAAAGGAGATGAGACCAGAGTCGAGAAAACGCTCCGATAGCAATCGCAGTAAATCGTGCGAGAGGAGAAAGCTGTCGGATGGCAGCATCACGTCTGATGACCTGAGTAAAGACTCGGGCTGTGCTACCGGGAAACTGTCTTCCACCGACAGCAGCTCTGAGATCTCGGACGCATCTGAGGAGCATAAGCAGTCACAGCATGGTGAAGTCTGTCACAGAGGTACAGACGAAGAGATGATGGACGATTCAGCTGAGCAAATATTATCAGAACACAGAGTAGAAGATGGTGTGATTAATGCCACCCTGTCTCCAGGGTTTGGCTTCGGAGAGGGAAGCATCTCTCCTGGAGACCAGCGGTCCTACGTTTCTCTGGACAGTCGCTTGAACTTGAGCGCGTCTGTGGCATTTTCGGATCTGACTGGAGACTTTGCTGATGGGGTGCATGAGGATCTGCTGAGAGAGATTGACGACCTAAGATCAGAAAATGAATATTTGAAGGTGAGGTTTGTTGATTCATTTATTTGTTTGTTAATTAATTGCAAATGGCAATGTCTTGCAATGGTGTAAATTATGCTTGGGAGAGTTCAGGTAGGTTAAGTGGGACACATTTCATATTTGCTCTTTAAATACAAGACAATCAAATAAAAGTCATTTATAATTGCCACGAGGGTCTTTTGTCATTGTGAAAATGTTTTGTTTTGTCTGACGCCATCATAGTGGACATGATCAAGCATCTGACTGATCTCAAATAGTGCATATCACCAAATGAAGATGCTCTTCTAAACATAAACATTGTAAAAGATGTCTGAATTCTATTACCAAAACGATGTATTGTTGTACAATTGCATTTAATTATTTGTGAGAATCTGTTTTAAGTACCTTCACTTTACCCATGTTAGATAAAAGGAGAGTACTAAATGCAGCCTGTTTTGATGGATTATGACTATTATTAAGCATCTACTATCATCAGCCAACATGGCATAAACCATGTCATATGATGTGCTGGACTACGTAAAATTAAATCAAAACAATCCCACAGTGTCTTCTAGATGTATAATACATTTTAACAGTCACATAAACAAAGCAAAAATAAATTGCACGTGATCTGGCTTATACTGTAAGATTTACTCTCTTTTTAGAAGATTACTCTGGACAGTCGCTTGAACTTGAGCGCGTCTGTGGCATTTTCGGATCTGACTGGAGACTTTGCTGATGGGGTGCATGAGGATCTGCTGAGAGAGATTGACGACCTAAGATCAGAAAATGAATATTTGAAGGTGAGGTTTGTTGATTCATTTATTTGTTTGTTAATTAATTGCAAATGGCAATGTCTTGCAATGGTGTAAATTATGCTTGGGAGAGTTCAGGTAGGTTAAGTGGGACACATTTCATATTTGCTCTTTAAATACAAGACAATCAAATAAAAGTCATTTATAATTGCCACGAGGGTCTTTTGTCATTGTGAAAATGTTTTGTTTTGTCTGACGCCATCATAGTGGACATGATCAAGCATCTGACTGATCTCAAATAGTGCATATCACCAAATGAAGATGCTCTTCTAAACATAAACATTGTAGTTTTTAAAAGATGTCTGAATTCTATTACCAAAACGATGTATTGTTGTACAATTGCATTTAATTATTTGTGAGAATCTGTTTTAAGTACCTTCACTTTACCCATGTTAGATAAAAGGAGAGTACTAAATGCAGCCTGTTTTGATGGATTATGACTATTATTAAGCATCTAATATCATCAGCCAACATGGCATAAACCATGTCATATGATGTGCTGGACTACGTAAAATTAAATCAAAACAATCCCACAGTGTCTTCTAGATGTATAATACATTTTAACAGTCACATAAACAAAGCAAAAATAAATTGCACGTGATCTGGCTTATACTGTAAGATTTACTCTCTTTTTAGAAGATTATACTTTCGCTAATTGGCTCGTGTCATCCCTCATTGTCTCTGACATGCAATAGAATGACGGGTTCACAGTGAGAACGAGACCAGCTTTACTGTGATTAAGTGCAAGGTGTCTCAGTAGAAATCAAGAACTCAACAGAAGTCCCACCAATGCATCCAAGAAGGACAGTGCATCAATCTTGGCACGCGCCCCTAGTTCTGTGGGTTAATGCGCACAGTATGCTGGCACGCAAGATGTGAAGCCAGTGCTGTCTTGGATGAGTTGGTTGAAGACTGACATTGATAGCGATATAGGAAACACCCTTTGTGCACACAACTGAAGTAGAATGCATTCATTTATCTCATGTTTTTCAATCAAAAACTTCCATTTTAAAACAGTTATGGTGGCTGTGAAACTGCCACATATGATTCAATTCTATGAAGTTGATGTTTACATACACCATTTTGACTGCATTTTTAGGACGAAATGGAGGAGCTCCGCTCGGAGATGCTGGAGATGAGGGACATGTACATGGAGGAGGATGTTTACCAGCTGCAGGAACTCCGACAGCAGCTGGAACAGGCCAACAAGGCCTGTCGCATCCTCCAGTACCGACTTAGGAAAGCAGAAAGACGCAGCCTGCGTGTAGCCCAGACGGGACAGGTGGACGGAGAGCTTATCAGGACACTTGAACATGATATTAGGGTAAGGATGTGCTTACAGTCATAATTTGCTGGTGTTTTCTGTGAGAAAGTCCTTGTATGTCACATAAAGCATAAAGAGCAATAACTGATATTCAGGGTGTAATTAAATAGATGATTCCCTCATGATTTGGGTGCAATTAAGTTACAGTGGTGTGTGTATAGGAAAACCACTGTTAGGGTTTTGGATGCAGTCCATGGCATTTATCGGGACAGGATGTTTATCTAAATTGCTCAGTGCTTAGTGCCAATTAAATGCTGAATAGTAAGTCACTAAATGAGTCAAAACTCTGTTTTTATGAATCAGCATGCACTCAGATGGATTGTGTAATCCTTCCATTGTGGTTTGTGACCCAAATCGTGGTGCTAAGGGTTTAGTGAGAGCTGAAATATCATTTTGTTTTATAGTTTGACATGTGTAGGGAGTGGTTTTACTTTTGGAAGTGGTCCAACTAGTAAAATGAGGAGAAAAACCCTCGGTTTTCTGTTTGGCAGACAATTGGTGTAGTTCAGTTTGTGGTGGACCACTCACAGCATAAGCATTTTTTGGTTTGAACTTCCCAGCCAATCAGCGACAGAGCTTTCTGTAGGAACGTTACGAATTAAAAACGAATTTACACAGCAGGGCGACCCATATAAAATGGCTGTTTTCTTTTGAAATCTGCTTCCAGACTATGCAAAACAAATTCCTCAGGTTTCTTCCGAACCCTTTGTCTGCACAGAATTTAGAGTGAAAATGTATTTTAGAGAAACACAATGTGAAGTATACTCAAGGTTGAATGAAAGAGTGTGTGCATTTGCATGTGTGCAGTATATGTGTCAAGGACTATAGCCACAGTATCCAAGAGGGGAAGTGTCCAAACACAGCTGCTGGTGTATTGTGGGCATGTCCATGACCAGTCTATATTAAAGGCATGTGAGAGAAATAGATACCCTCCTTTCACAAACTGGGCCAGTGTGTGTGTCCATCGCTTCTCAGTGTCCTCACTAGCACTCTGACAAGATATTCAGTCTTCAACAACCTCCACGGGAGTGTCCTGCAATCTGATATCTAACAGCATCCTTTTCAAAGTCTGCTGTGCTCCACATTTCCATCAACTTTTTTTCACAGAGAAATACAAGTTTGGGAAGTTGCTCCTGGAACTCAATGCTGATAATAATCACCCTGCGATATATATAAAAAAAGAAAAGTCATGCGCTGAATGCTGTGGTATAATCACATGCACTCTAACCGTTTTCCCTTGACATTGTTTGCAATTGTTAGCAACCCCTTGAGCATCAAGAGGATGAGTGCTTTGCAAAGGGTAAGGAAGGAGATCATAGGAGAGTCGACCCATATTGAATCCCGAACAATTAATTAACCACTTTACTTCCTCACATCCTCATTGTCACAAACCACAGATGAAACATGGTAACTTAATCCTCATTTTGCAATGTTCCATATAAAGTTTCAGATACGTATTTTCTATAAATATAGAGCTTCTTGTGACTTATAGTGATCCCCAAGAGAATGAAATGACATGAGATAATTATCATATTAACATCAACATTTTTGTGGATAGTTAGCATGGACATATGGTTTGCAGTGTATTTATTTTACTCTAAATTAATATTGTTTTCCCAGGTGGCAAAAAGCGTGTCCCTTCGCCTACACAGCGAACTTGAGGCCATTCAAAAGAAAAATTCAAGGCTGGAATGGGAAAATGAGGAGTTACGTGAACGGCTGCAAGATCTGGAGGTGGCAAAGCAGGTCCTACAGGCTGAGATGGACAAATCACAGGTGGTATGACCACAAAGCCATTGCTGTATATACATGTATTGTTCAAAAGTTTAAGATTTATATTTTATATGCTCACCAAGACTGAATAGTAGAAACAGTAATATTGAAATATTATTACAATTTTAAAAAACTGTTCTATTTTAATGTATTTTAAATGTCCTTTTTTCCTGTCATGACAAAGCGGAATTTTCAGTCTTCAGTGTCACTGAAGTATGCTGATTTGGTAGTCAAGAATTGTATTTTTTTAAATCAAAGTCAACAATAGTTGATCTGCTTAATATTTTAGTGAACAACATGATAACATTTTTCATGATTCTTTGATGAATAGAAAGTTTAAAAGAACAGCATTTATTTGAAATATAAATATTTTATTAGATATTTATTAATATTTATCATTACATTATAAATGTCTTTACTATCACTTTTTTATCAATTTAATGCATCCTTGCTGAATAAAATATTCATTTCAAAAAGAAAAACAAAACCTGACCTGTACTGTATATATGTATATATATGTTATGCCCTATATCACTTTAAAGCAGTACTTGTTTGTTTGTTGCTTAGACTCCTTAGTTTCATGATGCCGTTAGGATTAGAATCTGACCTTTACCCCAACTGTATGTAGTGGGTGTAAAAGACAGCTGACTGCTTGGGTAGGGCACAGAATGATCTAAGGGTCTGAATTCAAACCACAGCTGTCATTCTCACTTGTAGATGTAGTGAGGGGGAGAAGAGAGAAAAAATGGGGCAACTGAAAGGTTGAAGAGAGTGAGAAAGAAATCACTTAGAAATATACCTGAAAGGGAGATCCTTGTCCAACTCTGGCTGCAAGCCATAATGCTTAAATGTGGGTCTTATGATGTTCAATTATCACATACATACTAGTAAAAATACTAAAAAGAAGGCATGCTTTTTGCTTTCACTTTCTCACAATAATAAAAAATATAGGCTGCCACCATTTTACCAACATAGTGCACCGAACAAGTCAAATTTTATTGGCAATGAAGGCCTGTAGGTCTTTAATAACGGCACGCATTCAGTTTAATCCAGGATTCAGTGCTTAGAAGTGGATCCCAGCAGCTCAGCTCAGCTCAGACAGCTGCTGCCCATTCCTGATCTTCACCAGCAGAACAAATCAACTACAACCAGATTATCAAGGCCTCATGTGAGCCTGACCCTACCTGAAACATGATAATCTACATACAAACACTTTTTACTCATCCGTTAGAGTCAAAAATCTTTTTGCAGTCTTGATCCACAAGTTAAATTACTAATTTATCATATCAAAACATCAAGCTATAATATGATGAGTACTATTCTTTAGCTTGGTGTTGCACTTAACAGCTTGGATTGACTCGATGAGGTTATTTTTAACATGTAAAGAAGATAATTTGAAGTTTACATGCTCCTCCTCTGCTCTTTGTACTTTTAAGGGTTTGAGCCTCCCAGACAAAGCAGCAGACAGATAGACTGACTCAAGCCAGCATTCTTGACATACTTGGAGCAGTATGGATGTTTGGTGTAGTAATGGAGTTGGGGCTCTTGCCATCTCACTACACGAACATGATTGAGTGTGTTTATTAGGTGCATGCTTTCCTTACAGTCACACATTTCATTGGGTATTGGAATGCAGTGGACAGCGGTACGATGGAAAATAACAATGATTAATATAACTCAAATGAACATTTATGCCCATAGGAGGACATCATCTTAGGGGACAAATTGCATCAACCCACCTATACATAGTAAGCTGTGTTATATAAGCTGCTGAAATGTCTTCAGACTAATTATGGATATGGTGCATTCACAGAATTCTTTAAAGAGACGAAGTTTGAGATCAACATCCAGCAAGAGTGAAAAGAAGCTCTCTTCACAGGTGAGTTGGAAGTTACATTAGTCTTAATGATTGATTTGTGAAGGTTAGTGCTGATTTGTTGCAGGTCTTGGTAGAGGGCCAACATTAGTCATCAGAGTTCCTCTGATTTTTGATGTATGCCAACTGTTTTAACACACCTGTCTTCAACAGGATGACAGTACTGATTTGAAATGCCAGCTCCACTTTGCCAAAGAAGAGTCTGCGCTCATGTGCAAGAAACTAACTAAGATTGCCCTGGAGAGTGAGGCGATGCGGGAGGAGCTCGCCAAATACCGTCTGCTTTATGGTGAGGTGGATGAAACCCAGGCTGCAGCGGGCGCCACTAACTCCGCCCACACCCGAGAAGCAGAGGTCAAAGTTCACTTGCGGCTGGTGGAGGAAGAAGCCACGCTGCTGAGTCGTCGAATAGTGGAGCTAGAGGTAGAGAACCGTGGGTTGCGAGCAGAGATGAGTGAACTGCGTGAACGAGGAGGAGGAAGCCTGGAAGAAGAGGAGACGATGAAGGGGGCCAGTGAAGGATTAGCAGTGCCTCTCCAAACTGGGGAACAGGGGGAGATGCTTAGAGGTGGATGTCTGGATGGGAAAGAGAATGGAGATGCAACGACTACCCACAATAATATGCAGGAGAACCAGATGCATGTAGAGGAGGTTCATGCTTCTATCAGCCACATGCACAGAGAAGGGCCGATTGGTGGGGAACAGGAGCTTTCTGCAGAAACTAAAGCGGAAGACGGACAAGCTCAGTGTATGTCAGACTGCACATTTGGAGTGAAAGATCTAGAGAGTCTTCTTGCCATCCATGACCAGGCGCTGCTTGTCAGATCGACTATCCAGCTCCTAATAACCCCAGCAAAAAATGGCCTCTCACCTACATGTACCCATAACACTCCTGCTGGTGCTCCCTACTTAGGCAAATCTGCAGTAGATCCTCAGTGCAAAACACATCAGTGGCTTTTAGACCCCATGCTGAGTCCCTTGACCAATGGATTAGAGGTGTTACAAGCACAACTGCATGCTCTTGTCAAAAAGTTGGAGGTGCTGTCAAACTCCAATTCAGAGCGCCCTGGGCCTGTTACAGAGAAGAATATGTTGCGTTTTGACGAAGATTTAATTGAAATGAAAGAGGACTCAAAGAATCAAGCAAGTCGCAAACTTCCATGTGAAGAAAATGTTGGAAATCATTGTAACCAGGACAGCTTAGTGCTGCTCAATCTGCAGCTCCAATGGTTCATCCAGCAGTGGAGGCAGGGAGAGAGACCCACAGCTGATGGAAAGAGCCTGTTTGAGGTAAATTGGGCAACGATGCTTGCTATTGCGGTCAACCATCTTTATCGATGAAGATGGTTAAAATTTTCTTTATATTGATTCTTACTTGCAGTTGAAATAACAGTAAATGCTTTCCTGTAGTTCAGACATAACGCTAGCAATGCCAAGATCAGGGCTTCTATTCCCAGGGAAAGCAAGAACCTATCAATAAATAAATGTAAATGTACATTGAATGCAAAATAAAAATGCCTGCCAAAAGCATATATGTAAATGTTGTGTAGTTGGGTGTTTTGTCAACTTTGGGCACTTTTTGGGCCCTTTATACCAAAAACACACTTTTGATTTATTTAATTCGCCCACTAACAATGTTCAGTGATACAGTATGTATACATGAATTCCCATCCAATCTTTCCCATCTCATCGTGTATTGTGTGTTAATAATGTTCTGTTGTGGAAAATACATGTTTACCATTTAATGTGTCCTAAATAGGCACAGTTACATAATATTTTTCACACCATTTGCATAATTTGAGCTAATATATATTTATAGAGAGATTAAGAAAAAGAGAGTAAGATTGAAAATGAGGCAAAATAAAATATTCTGTATTTATATAATCCTTAAATGCTTTTTCTGTAATTCTATATATTTTTTCATATATTTCACTTAATTAAAATAAAAAAAAGCTTTATTAGTGCCAAAATTCTGCAGTGTGACATTTTGTTAAAATAATAACATAAATAATTTCACTCAATAAATGTTAAAATGGTGTAAAGTTTATTTCACTCAGAAACAACCAATTTTATGTGTCTTTTCGTTTCAGATGTATTGTCAGAATGATCATCATCTGCTTAAGGACACAGAGTCAAAAGCATGCGAGTATAATCTTCAACAGAAGTGCAACAGTCAGGTATGAAATAGAATGAGGATTACTGGGGTAAAAATAATAGTGTTTCAACATGACTTCCAAAAGCATTTCATTGTGCAATACATTCAGCCTGAAAGAATGTCATTCAAAAATGTGCCCTTTTCATAATATATTATAGCTGAACATGCCTGCTCTTTGAGAATAATTGCCCAATAGCATTGTTCCTTGACCTGTTGCTCATTTCCAGTTAATCTGGTTGTGTTCCTGTTGCCCAGTGTTCATTCACCACTGTATGTTCCTTTCTCAGGTAAGCAGTGCCCTGCTGTCAGACCTCAGGACAGCACTGTCGGATCTGTTTTCTGAACTTATGGAGCAGCACAGGGCAGCCCAGTTTGTCATCCGGCAGTTTGCTAAAGCCAAAGCAGCGTGGGCCGTGGAATGTGCAGAGCTCAAGAGCCTCATAAGCAGGGTGAGAACTAGAAGATCAGTTTAAATTCCCTTCAGAGAGTATCAATGAACCTGTTGTCTGCTTCTCATGTCGTCTCCTCTTCTTTCTTCATTCTTGCGTCTGTAGGGACTTATGGAGGAAATTGTCGCAGAAATGTCATCAAGTTGTTTGTGTTTGTTTATAGCTGGATGGTTCAGCTGGGAAGGCAGGAGTAAAGGGTCCATCAGACCTGAATGCGGCTTTGCAGAAGGACCATATTGAGAAGCTTCAGCACCTGTTAGCAGAGTCCTACACTGCAGTGATGGACCTGACAAGACAGCTGAAGGTCCGTGAAAGCAGCTGGAGCTCTGAGCAGCAGGAACTGCTAGAACACCTGAACCATGTGCGTCTAGAGTGCGAAGGGTTGAAGACAGCTAAGCAAAATAAAAAAATGCAGGTCAGAGCAAAAATTTGTGTAATACACTGAAACTAATGTGCCTAATGTGGAACTTTGACATGATTTCATCTGTCAAAGGTCAACCATCAAAACAGGTCTTACTAGACAGTAGTCTAGTAAGGGGGGGGGGGTGTTAACTATTAT